GGTGTGAGGTGGGAGCATTTGAGATCTTGCTCCCTGGCATATGTCATCAGTTTGGCTCAGAAAACTCTGCCATAGGGAGTGGGGCAGAACAGCCAGGCTGGGGGCCCACACGAGCCACATCCTAGCACTATCTCCTGGTAGCTGTTGACTGTGACACAGACTTTCTGATCTTCCCCAAAGCCCCTCCCACACCCAGGACCCACCTGGTTTTTCCTCATCAGGCGCTGAGCCTTGGGAGGAGGTGGCACGTCTGGGTCCTCGCTAAAGCTTTGTTCATCTGTTGCAGATGTGGGAACCTGTTTCTGGAAAAACCCCCAAGGGCATTTTGGCCTGAGGAGCAGGAAATGGCTGGGAGGGGGTCGAGGCAGAACAAGGGCAATGAATTTTGGGGGCTGTGCATGCATGTGTGCGTCCCAAGTCTGATGTTCACTGTGATGGTGTAGGAGTCTTGGGCATGACTTAAGTCAGTCCTTACGGGAGCTTTTGTGAATTAATCCACATTTATCCTGTCAGGCTGCGAGCTGAGAGCTCTGGACACAGGTCATTCTGGTGCCCTCAAGGGGTTCTCAGCCGACAGCAAGCAGCACAGTCCCGTAGAAGTATAATGTGAGCTTCATGTAACTTTACATCTTCCAGTAGCCGTATTAGAAGAGCAAAAGGAAACAGGTGAAATCAAGTTCAGGACATTTTTAAACTCAGTATCCAAGATGTTATCATTTCAGCATATAATCAGTATAAAACACTATGAAGACAGCTGACACTTTTTCCCAGTCTTCAAATTCCAGTGTGCAATTGACACCGACAGCGCATGTTTGACTAGCTCCACTTCAGGCACTGCACAGTCACGTGTGGCTGATGGTTCCATGAGGGACAACCAGACATCTTCAGTGGTTATAAGACAGGTGCTCAGGGCTATGACGGAGGCCAGCAACGACTGTGGGGACATCAAGGTACACTAATTCTGCAGTGGCTTAAGCAAATCGCTCTCACAGAAGCTGCCAGTGCAGGAAGGTGGGCTCTGCTTGGCCAGGGCCCGGGCTGGCTGGGCAGCACTGCAGAGCAGCCTGTGGACGCAGAAAGGAGGTGTGAAGGGGCCACATCTCAGTCCTAACCTCTAGGCCCAGAAGTAGCCCAAGTCCCTTCTCTGCATTTAGTCGCAAGGCCACACCTGCCTGTTAGGGAGTCTGAGAAATGTCATCTGGCTGAGGAGCTGTGAGCCCAGGAAAAACAAATTTGGAGAAAAGTCTGGCCCGTGGCAGTTAGAGGACTCTGTTGAGGTGATGTGGCTGGGCACTGGGTTCCATCCTGGGGTAGATGGTGAGGTGGCCCTGCCAGCAGTGCTTGGTGCTGATAATTCACTATGGTTTTGTCTCTGCAGCCAGAGCATTCCATCGACTTCATCAGCAGGGAGCAGTATGAGCACTCCATCACGAAGCTACAGGCCCACACCCTGCTCATCAAGTAAGTCTGCACCCAGCGCCCGAGATAAGCTATGAGCGCCAGGACCCTCTGGTTCTGAGACCATGCTGCCATCTTTCTTGGGAAGCCCCCAGCAGCTGGTGTGTGGAAGGCAAAGCGATGGGAGGGCTTAGGTAGCAGGGGATGGGGCAAGGACAACACACCTCTCCACAGGTGTCTGTGCAGGGTCCACAGGTAAGGTAGTCTGGCTAACACTGGTTCCCAACCCTCCAGCTACCCCAGACCCCTCGTATCCCCAGGCCTATGCTGCTCCTCCCTCTGCCTTCCTCCCCTCCCCCACCCAGCACCACTTCGGGGTCCTATAGCAGTGAACCCCCTTTAGTGTGAGTTAGATACCACCCCCCACTCCACTGCAACCATCCTGGCCATGGCATGCCCAAGGCAGGAACTGTGATTTCTGGGGACACATCTGTCTCTGGAGTTTAGAAAGCATGGATTCAACGTGTGCAAATCCAAGCCACAGTGCGACACTACACACCCACTAGGATGGCTAGACTCAAAGTGAGGCAACAAGTGTTGGCAAGCGCGTGGAGGGAACAGAGCCCTCACACGCTGCTGCGGGACTGTGAAGTGGTGCAGCCACTTTGGAAAACAGTCCGGCGGCTTCTCCAGCCAGTAAGTTACCATGAGACCTTCTGCCCCAGCAATGCCACTCCTAGGTGTGTACCCAACATGTACGCGATGGCTCAAGCAGAATTGTTCATACACCCAAAAGGTGGACAAACGAAATGGGGTCTAGCTGGCCAGTGGACCACTTTCCAGCCATAAAAAGGAGCAAGCGCTGACGCACGCTATAACCTGGGTGAACCTTGAAAATCTTACGCTAAGAAGTCAGACACAAAGTCCACACACTGAAAGATCCCATTCCCATGCAAGTCCAAACAGGGATCTCCATCAAGACGGAGACCATTAGTGGTTGTGTAAGACTGGGAGAGGGTGGGTGGGTGGTGTGTGTGTGTATGAGAACAGGTTTGGGATTTTTTTTGAGGTGATGAAAATGTTCTACAGTTGACAACTGACTGGTGGATCACACAACTGAATAAACTAAAAACCATGGAATTATACAATTAAAATGGGTGAAGTTATCTCAGTAAAGTTGTTAAAAATAAAAAAGAAAAAGCAGATTCAAGAGCCGTTCAGATCCTGGCTCTGCCACTCAGTGACTGCGGGTGGTTCTGGGAACCCGCCGAGCCGCAGCAGGTGCCCGCTGTCGTGGGCCCTGAGTGCAAGTGGGTATATCTGAACTCAAAGGGACTCACTGTGGGCATCAGAGGGCAGCGCAGGCCAGGGCCGAGGGCACTGCCTGGCAGGAGACCTGAGATGAACCCTGGTTTTCCAGAGCAATCCATGGATATTATGATGTGAGGAGAGAGAACGATGCTAACAAGGAGCCCGTGCATTACATGGTTGGCAAGTTGAAATCTGCCTTAGAAGAGGTAGGTGCAGAGGGCTCAGGGCGGCTGGGGGCTAGGAGGCGGGGGCCAGGCCACGGGGCTCCCCTGCACCTGTCTCTTCTTGCATTGGGATTCCCGGTCTGGCTCAGCCCCAGGTCTACTAGCTGACCACCCCGGAGCTAGCTGGCCTCACTCCAGCTGGGGTCACCTGTGAGTCAGCACAGGTACAGACTGTTCACTGGCAGATTCTCCGTTTTATTGTCCTCACATGTCCCCGGGCCAAGCCCAACTCAACCAGAGGCCATCCCACGGTTTTCTAGGGTCCCAAATGAGAGCAGATGACGAGTCCCCTCAGTGGGTGCTGGCTCTAGGGAGGGGTGGGCCTCCAAGTTGGAGGGCTGGGACTTGTGCTGTGACTGTCCCTGGGAGCACCCAGCATGTTATGATCATCCAGCACAAACACCTGACTTGGAGCCTCTGCAGACACTGTGGTGTCCCCAGGGAAGGCAGGGAAGCCCGTGTGTGGCTGTGGCCGGCAGGCGGCGCCTTCCTGTCTTGTGGGCCATTGCCCCGGCAGAAGTGAGCTTGGAAAGCGGCTTTCTTTTCTCAAGTGGACCTCATATAATTATCAGGAAAGCGGCAGCCTGACCCCGGCCCAAGTTCGCAGCTCAGAGTGGCCCAGAACCCCAGTTTGGACCATCAGGCCTGTCTCACTGGCTTAGAGCCAGGGCCTGACTCGCCCAGAGCACTGTGAACAGACTGAGGCCCTCGGGGCTCTGGGTCAGTGGGGGCACCGCAGCTCACTTATTGGGGGGGCGGGCACAGGCCACAGGAAAGCCCAGCCCGAGGGCCTGCAGGGCCACACCTCACCACATGTCCTCTCCCTTCTCCAGCGGTTCCAGTTTGTGGAAGTCCCAGGCAATCACTACGTCCACATGAGCCACCCCCACCATGTGGCCGGTATCATCAGCTCCTTCTTACAGAGCAGGGACAGGGTCCCAGCCCAGCAGTAGCCCAGGGCTACTGAGGCCTCGCTCTCAGCACCTGCGCCCAGCTCCCAAGCCCGCAGCCAGGCCAAGCATGGTGGGGACAAGCCTCACAATCTTGAGCGGTTTGGCCAGCAGAGTGGAGGTGTGGGGGTGAGGCTCCGGCATTTGTGACTTCACAGGGGAGACCGTCTGGACTTAGGGGACTGTCTGCTAATCAGCAGTGAGCCACAGTGGCTGCAGGGAGGGGCTGAGACAGGCCACCCAGGCCTGCAGCCTGGCAGCTTTTGCAGCCTTTTCCTGCTGCCGACTGGATAAAAAATGGTTCTTGTATTCTCAATGCTTTCGAGGAGACTTTCACTGCGGCAGGGGCTTTTCCACTGAGGGACAGGGGACAACAAAGCAGACACTGAGCTTTCAGAGGATCCAGAGACAGGCTGGGAACACATACCAGGAGCGGGAAGGAACTACTTCTTGGGCTGGTGGCCTCGCCAGCACTGGGCCCCAGGACCGCTGAAGCACGAGGACCAGGGGTGACAGTCCTTCATCCCACCCTGTCGGGGCTCAGATCTTTGGTGTGTGGCAGCCCCTCAGCCTGGGCACAGTCTGGCAGCGTCCCAGCCCTCATGTCCTCACTGGCCACGCGCTGCCCTCTCCATGCTGGCTCAGTAGGGACGGAACTTGCGTTGGGCCCGCATCAGTTCAATCCTCTGCTTGTCCTCCTGGAACTTCTTACGCAGCTGTGCTAGATCTGGGGCACAGGGGGAAGGGGGAGGGACAGGCTAGGATCAGACAGCCTGCCCGGTGGGAGCTGCGCCCGCTGTCCCCACCAGAGAGTCCACCCAGCCCCTCCCCTCAGGGCCGACTCCCAGCTGGGGAGCTCAGCATTGCCCCCCCCTCGAGTCTGCTTTGGGAATGGTCTAGATGCTGCAAGGGAACGGAACTGGACAGCAGGCCCAGACACAGGGCGGAGGCTGAAGTGGAGAAGACGGCATACCTGAGTTTTCAGACAGGAAATGCACCAGTAAAAAGGCACTTGCTCCCCACTGCCCCCCACCCCAGCACCCACACACATCCAAATGAAGGGAAGAAGGCTCTGGGCGTGCTGGGAGACCCCTGGGGACACCGGTCCCAGCCCCTCCGCACTGCAGCTATTAGGCTGGGGAGGACATTGGGAACAAGTAACGGGACTCCACCCCCAGAGTGCCACAGAATTCAGATGGCAGCTCCGGCCACTGGACGACTGGGTCAGAGGGGTGTGTGGGGCCTGGAGCCAGGGAGGGAAGGCTGCTGTCCAGTGAATCTGGGGGCACGAGGACAGGAACAGAGGTGCCGAAGCGGGACAGGCAGTTGGGAGCAGCAGCCAGGCAGGCGAGAGTGGGGTGACTGGGTGGTGGGTGAGGGCCCGAACCCGCTCTGGGGCCCACGGGGAAGCTGTGCTGCGGGGGCGAGCTCAGCATTGTCACCACCGAGCCGGTCACAGGGGATCAGGAGCCCACTCCAGGGCACGCTCCACGTGCACGCGCGCACACTCACTCACTCACACACACACACACACACACACACACACACACACTCTCTCTCTCTCTCTCTCTCTCTCTCTCTCTCTCTCTCTCTCTCTCTCTCAAACCCCAGCCCTGGCAGTGACCCTCTCTGCACCCACAGCGAGCACTTGACACTCGCCCTCTGGATTCTGGCTCCTTGCCGGAGGCTGACAGTTTCCAGCACTAACTGCTCAGGGGTCTGGCAGTGGGTCCCACATCCCAGGTGCCTCTAAGGAACCCAGGGGCCCACACAGAGCCCTCTGGGGAGCAGCAGGGGGACCACCACATGGAGTGCTGCCAGGCTGGGACCCTAACCCCAGAGCCTGTTGGGAAGTCTGTGTCTAGGACACCGCTGCCCAAATGCCAGGTCCAGCGCCCGTCCTCTGGGGCTCTGTGCTCTGGCCACAGGGCTGGGGACGGGCTGGGGGTGCTCCCTTACGCTCCATCTTGGTCTCGCGGTGCTGCCAGGCGTAGAAGTTGAGCAGCTCCTTGCGGGCACGCTTCCGCTTCTCCCTCTCCAGCACCCGCAGGCTGGCTGCCTCCGTCCGGGGGAGCACGGGCCGCCGGCCGCGGCGCGTCACCTTCACCCAGCCCTCGTCATCGGGGACCCCGTCCTCCTCCTTGGCCTTAGCCTCCTCCTGCAAGGAACACGACCATGACGGGCAGGCAGCGGGGACCAGCCCTGCAGCCTCAGGAGCGCCTCTCCCCCTCCCCACTGTACCCAGAACCACCTGGGGCACCCACCGGCACCTGCTGCTCCCTCTGCCCCCAGCACAGTGTTGGTGCCTCAGTTTGGGGACGGGGGAGGGGGGGGGGATGGCACAGACATGCATGCCAACGCTGCCTCCTCCTCCACCCTTGTACCATTCATTCCCTACAGACCATCTAGAGACTAGATGTCACCTAGTTAGGAGGCCCAGGACTCAGCAGGGAAAAAGGGAGCTTGGACATGTGACCTGGATAGGTTGCCACCGCCCCTCCCCCCAGGACACCCGTGGCACCACCTTCCCCATGGCCCCACCTCAGCTATCCTCTTGTCATACGCCTCCATGAACGTGTCCACTTCAACCCTCAGGGCCTCAGGGTCCAGCACGGAGTCTGTGTAGTCACTGATCCACTCTGGGGAGAAGTGAGGGAGAGAAACGGGGCTTCCTCAGGCCCGACACTCAGGCCAGCTGGGATCATCTTACACAGGCCATAGGCAAGGAGACCGCGGCCCAGGGTTCAGGTGGTTGGCTGGGCCCTCACCTCTGCCCACCTGAGTGCCAGGCTCAGGCCTTGCACACACTGCTCTCAGGGCAAGTGAACACGGCAGATGCTGCCCCCACAAAGCCTCCCCTCCAAACCAGGGCCCAGGAAGGAGGCCGCCGACCCTCCCACAGTACTGACTGTGAATGCCTCTCTTCACGGGGTGACTCTCAGTCGAAACCAGCAAAGGGCCCTTCAGGGCTAAGGCAGCCGACACCCCACTGGGCTTCTGGAACACCACGTGGGCTACCTGGAACCCCTGGAGGAGCGGGGAGAGGTGTCACAGTGCTGCAGCCTGCCCGTCCTCCCAGCCACCCATGCCTGACACAAGGGTTCCTGCCTGCCCTCAGCCTGACTTGTTGCCCGAACCGTGAAGATAACCAGGAGGTTGTCCGTAATCCAGGGGTGGGACAGCCGTGATCCGAGCTGTCCAAAAAGTGACGTGTGTGTCCCACCTCTTCCCCAGGCCCTTTCCTCCAGGCCCAGTTACCAGAGGGACTCAGTGAAAAGCGTGCTCATCCCAGGCCAGGGGCGGATGGACACATGGGGCGCACACTAGATAAAAAACCAGCTGTGGCCTCAGGGAACACAGGTAAATGACACTGGGGCCACTGAGCCTGGGGAAGAACTGACTTCAGTGGGGGAAGCAGACTGGGAGCTCAGGGAGGCCCCTCGGGGCAGCGAGCAGAGGTGCTGAGCGCTCACCCAGGACTATGGGAAGAGCCAGGAGGAAGCTGGAGGATGTGGTAAACCCGGGGAAAGGAGCGCAGGCCGATTACCTGACGGCCCCCCCACCCCCACCCCAACTAGGACTGGCCAGGGCCCCAGGGAATGCTCTGGAAATCCCACTGCCACCCGACTCCACTGTCCCCTCACACACTGGGGACGCGGGTGTAGCCCCACCCCACGCCCCCATTCTAGCAGACCCCAGTACTTGGAGGCTTACTGGAACGGGCTTGGGGTGAAAAAACTTTGACTTTGGCTCCTTCGGGCTCTCGGCGAGGTCTGGCTTCTCCTGTAAGTCCACTGACTGGACGGAGCCGCAGGGGGACAGGAGGCGGGACAGGCACTCCTGCCGGTGGAGGAAGCTCTGTGAGGGGCGGCAGGGCCTTAGAGCCTCCCTCCGCCCCTGGAGGTCAGGAGCCCTCGTCTGTCTGCGCCCAACCTGCGAGCTCGCAGGGAGGGCCCGAGCAGGCCACTTCCTCCTCAACACAGGTCACAATCCAGCCCTCCCAGAGCCCAAGACAACTTTGTTAATTTTCCCATTAAAATCTGTGGACAAGAAGCCGCACCTCCACTGGCCAGGGGACCAGGGAGGAGATGGAATTCTTCCGGGATCAGCTTTTTTGCTTTGTGGCAGGAAGCGGCTGGGAGGGCTGGGAGCCTAGGCCCAGGAATGCCTTCGGTTTTCTCACCAGTCTGAAAGGATTTCTCACTTGACAGGACATCTTACTGAAAGCTCAGTCTTTCCTCATCAACTTCTCTGGTTTAATGATCGAGAAAATAGGATTAGGCTCTAAACTTTCTTTTTTAATTATTACAAGAATAGGTGGGGACATTTTTTGTGTTGTTATGATTTTTAATAGACAACCAACTACTTGGGTCAGCCATTTAAAAACTGAGTTAAACCTATGCTGCTGCAGTCAGAATGATGGCTGGCTGTGGTGGGGGAGGGGCATGAGAGGCTTTCTGGGGTGCGGGTGCTGTTTCTCCTTTGAGGTGTGATTACACGGCATGTCCAGTTTGTGAGATACTGAGCACTGTGCACCTCCGGCCCGAGGCCATCTCCATACATACACTACTCCTCAGTAAAGGTTAAAAACGACATCCTCTCCTCTTAATGGTTCTGTCTCTCTGTAATTATAATCTCTCAGAAATTTGCATTTCTTTTTTGAAAAAAATTCATCTAAAGTCCAGCAATTTCCTTAGTTTCTCTTCTGTAAACTTACATAATATTAAATGGAACAGTTTTGTGAAAAAAGTTGACATGTCTGGATAGTAGATTTAGAAGTCATTTTATTTCCTTATACTTTTCCTGTGGGCATGCATCACTTTTAATCAGGGAGCAACAACACGCATTTAAACAATTCTGGGTAAATAATAAAAAGCTTTGGGCTCCTTAGAACTGTATTTTTAAAAACATATCTTTAAAAAGCAATTTCCTGTCACGGGAGAGAGACAGCCCTCTAGATACCCTCCCTTGGGGCTTCAGTTAGCTGCTTCCATCTCACCACGAAGGACTTGGTGGGCGCCAGGGGGAGCCCAGCTCTGCCTGAAGCCCACTGGAGCCTACAGGCTCCCTCTCGATACCAGCTCACCTCTGTGCAGTATGGGGGCACATTGAGGACAAAAAGGGTCCGCTTCTGAGGCCAGGAAGAGTTGGTGCCTTCTCGAACTCTGTGCTCTCTCACATAGAGATAATGACAAGCCTGCTGCTTCTCAGAGAACTTGATAGGAATGGCTGGAAGGGAAATGGGGTGGGGAAGGGATGGCATGAAAGGCAGGTTCAGGCTGCCCCTTTCTAGTCCTATCTGTCTGTACACCCATC